TCCAGGCCTGAGGCTCGCCCCCTGGGCTCACGATTCCCTGTTGCACCGTGGACTCTTCTCAACCGAATGGCCTTCCCGCCACTGCCTGGGATTTAGGTGCGGAGCCTATGGAACGTTCGCCACCCCTCCGAGAAGACGTCAACGACGCGGGTTTAACCCCGATGCCTCGCCGAGACGAGGGTTCGGGATCGGGCTCGCGCTGTGGGGTGAGCTGTTTGGCCACGGGGCGGGGCGGCCTCCTCATTCTGGAGGAGGCGGCCCTGCAGCCTTGCGCATTTCCTTCGATTTGTCGCTGTTTCTGGCCACTGGGTGGCCGAGGCCTGGCGCCTTCGAATTGGTTCGGTCGCGCGAGGCCAAGCAAAACAATGCGCATTCTTGTGCCTGCGCAAACTTTGCACGCGAATGCCCGCGGCGCCAAGAGGAGAGCCAAATTTCGAGAACGGTCCGCTGCCCATCCCTGTAATTATTGCACATGTGTAAGACGATTGTGCGCGGCGCCCATGCGAGGCGGGGGGCGCCCGTCGGTTTTGGGCCAGAAATCGCGGGGTGGGGGGGCCCAAGAACAGAGGTTCTGCGGGCGGGGGTGTCGGGGCCAGGTGGGTGGAGCATCGGTCGGGGCGAGGTGGAGGGCATCGGTCGGTTTGAGGCGAGAAATAGCAGGGTGGGGGGCCCCAAGAACAAAGGTTCTGCGGGCGGGGGTGCCGGGGCCAGGTGGGGGGCTCCGGTCGGGGCGAGGCGGGGGGTATCATTCGGTTTTGGGCGACGAATCGTGGGGTGGGGGGTCCCAAGAACAGAGGTGCTGCGGGCGGGGGTGTCGGGGCCGGGCATCTGTCTGTTCGGGGCGAGAGATCGCGATGTGGGGGGCCCCAAGAACAAGGGTTCTGCGGGCGGGGGCGTCGGGGCCAGGTGGGGGGCATCGTGCGGGGCCAGGTGGGCGGGTGGGCATTGGTCGGTTTGGGGGGGCAAATCGCGGAGTGGGGGGCCCCGAGGTTCCGTGGGCGGGGGTGTCGGGGCCAGGCGGGGGGTATCGGTCGGGGCGAGGTGGGGTGCATCGGTTGGTTTGGGGCGAGAGATCGCGGGGTGGGGGCTCCGCGAACGAGAGGTTTTGTGGGCGGGGGTGTCGGGGCCAGGTGGGAGGTATCGGTCGGGGAGTTGGGGGGGTATCGGTCGGTTTTGGGTCAGAAATCGCGGGGTGGGGGGTCCCGAGAACAAAGGTTCTGCGCGTGGGGGTGTCGGGGTCAGGTGGGGGGCGTCGGTCGGGGCGAGGGGGGCGTCGGTCGGTCTTGGTGGGCAAATCCCGGGGCCCCAAGGACAGAGGTGCTGCGGGTGGGGAGGTCGGGGCCGGGCATCGGTCGGTTGTGGGCGAGAAATCGCGGGGCGGGGGGGGCCAATTCTGCGGGCGGGGGCGTCGGGGCTTTGGGTGGGCCTCGGTCGGGGCCAGGCGGGGAGTATCGGTTGGTTTTGGGCGAGAAATCGCGGGGTGCATGGGGGGCCCCAAGAACAAAGGTTCTGTGCGTGGGGGTGCCGGGGCCAGGTGGGGGGCGTCGGTCGGGGCGAGGTGGGGGGCATCGCGGTTTTGAGCGAGAAATCGTGAGGTGGGGGCCCCAAGAACAGAGGTTCTGTAGGTGGAGGCGTCGGGGCCAGGTAAGGGAGTATCGGTCGGGGCGAGGTGGGGGCCTTCGGTCGGTTTTGGGTGAGAAATCGCGGGTTGGGGGTCCCAAGAATAGAGGTGCTGCGGGCGGGGGTGTCGGGGCCAGGCGGGGGGCGTCGGCCGGGGCGAGGTGGGGGGTGTCGGTCGGGTTTGGGCGGGAAATCGCGGGGTGGGGGGTCGCAAGAACAGAAGTGCTGTGGGGTGGGGGGGTCAGGGCCGGGCGTCGGTCGGTTTTGGGCGAGAAATCGCGGGGTGGGGGGGCCCGAGAACAGAGTATTCTGCGGGTGGGGGTGTCGGGGCCGCGCGGGGGGCATCAGTCGGGGCAATGTGGTGGGCATCGGTCGGGTTTTGGCGAGACATCGCGGGGGGGGGGGGCGATAATTCAGGGGGTGTCGGGGCTAGGCGGGGGGTATCGGTCGGGGCCAGGCGAGGGACATCGGTCGGTTTTGGGCGAGAAATCGCGGGGTGGGGGCTCCCGAAAACAGAGGTTCTGTGTGCGGGGGTGTCGGGGCCAGGCGGGGGGTATCGGTCGGGGCGAGGTGGGGGGCGTCGTTTGGTTTTGGGCGAGAAGTCGCAGTGTGGGGGGGGCCCAGGAACAGAGGTTCGGTGGGCGGGGGTGTCGGAGTCAGGTGGGGGGCATCGGTCGGGGCGAGGTGGGGAGCGTCGGCCGGTTCTGGCGGGCATCGGTCGGTTGCGGGCGAGAAATCGTGGGGTGGGGGGCTCCGCGAACAGAGGTTCTGCGGGTGGGGGTGTCAGGGCCAGGTGGGAGGTGTCGGTCGGGGCCAGGCGGGGGGCATCGGTCGGTTTGGGGCAGGAAATCGTGGGGCGGGGGGGCCCAAGAACCCGCGCATCTTACGACATTGATTCTATCATGTCTACTCGCAGGCTGGTTTACTTTGGATTGATTAGGTTTCTGCGAATGGCTTGGTTGTTGCGAATGTCCCGATCATCATCGCCATCCACCATGCCATCCATCATTTAGGCATATGCACGCACTAGCATAGCAGCATTTACAACGTGCTTGTGAGGATGGTCCTTTAGGGTCTCTGTATACATTTATGTGCATACACACATGTATATATATAATGTGCACACATGTGTGTAAACACACATACATGTAGTCATACATACACATATATATACACATCAACGCTCGTATACAACAAGCATTCACATATATATACATCTCTACACATATTTATGTATATGCATATATATATATATAAATATTAATATATACGCGTAAGATACAAGGTAGTACGATGTACATATCATTTGGCATATGAGTTACTGGGCATGCGGATGCAGGAGGCCCGCAATGTAGTGGCCACGTGGCTCGCACCCCCAATTCGATTGCGGATCTTGTGCGCTTCGGAACATCCGGCGCCCGTGGGGCTTCGGCCTCAGTTGCAGTCGATGATATTAGTTGGTAATTTGTTTTTTGTGTGTTATCGTTTCGGGGTGTATATATATACATATGTATATATTGCAGCGATCGATCGACCGTTCGCGGTGGACCGATCGCCCCCCTCAATGCGATAAGACCCCGTCCTCTTCGTCTCCACCCTTTCCCTCGCCTGTCCCTCGCCTTTCCCTCTTCGTCTCCACCCTTTTCCTCGCCTTTCCCTCGCCTTTCTCGCGCGGGCGCGACTCGCCATGGCGAGCGGGTCGGGCGGCCCTGCGTCGCCCGCGGCAGCGAGCCCCGACGAAGCTCCAGCCGTGCCGCGCAAGGCATGCCCTCCATTGATCCTCCTTCCCCTTCCTCGTAAGACGGGTCCTGTTCGGATCAGATATCGCATCCTCCATATATATATACATATATAGAATACGTTGGTCAGTTGCTAAGATGCATGCTTGTACGGAATGCTGTCTAACTGTCATTTTCTGTCTCGCTCTCTCTCTCTCTCTCTGTTTATCTCCCCCCTCCTTCGGTCTGCATGGACATCGACACCGCAGACTTGATTGCCATAGCCCGTCTACATAACGCCATGCAGGAAGACTTGAGGGAATACCGTTCTGAGGTCCTCATCTTCCTCTTCCATCCTCCTTCCTTCAACTGCTCTTCCCCGGCTCCTATAGACGAAGCCCGTTGCCATCACCGACTATATTCCCTGGGCTACCGATCAGACTTATTCGTGACAATCCGAAATTGCGACACGACACCAATCTAGCTGCTTCGACACCGCGAATCAGCGTGACGGGTGCGTTTTGACAGTCCTAGTTCGCGCCAGATGGCCACTCTTGCGATGTTCAGCCACACGCATCCTCACAACGCTGGCGATCATTCAAAGACGAACGTGCGCTGAGTTAGTGCGAGGGCTTGATGTTGAAGTAGAACCGCCCTCCACCCTTGAATCGGTTTTAAGGTTTTCAGGCGCACGTGCGCGGCGCTGACGAACATGCGCGGCGCTGAGGCGAGAGTCACATTTTGAAACCGGACCGCCCTCCATGCTTACACGTGTTGCAAACGTTTAACACGAATGCGCGCGGCGCCAAGGCGAGAGCCACATGTTGGAATTCACTCGCCCTCTAACCTTGAAACTGTTGCACATTACAATTGCCCGGACAATACATTGTGAGCACGTCTCAGGCGAAACACACAGCTTGCCCTTCCGACACGCGTGCATGTGCGACAGGGAGGAGATATTTTTAAGGGAAGGGATGAAGGAGAAGGAGGAGGAGGAGGAGGAGGGCGAGGAGCAGGAGCAGGAGGAGGAGGATGAGGAAAAGGAGGAAGAGGAGGAAAAGGAGGACGAGGAGGAAAAGGAGGAAGAGGAGGAGGAGGAGGAGGAAGAGGAGGAGGAGCAGGAGGTTCGAGGGTCGAGGGGGGGGAGGAGAGGAGGAGGAGGAGGGAGGAGGAGGAGGAGGAGAGGAGGAGGAGGAGGAGGGAGGAGCAGGAGGAACAGGAGGAGTAGGAGGAGGAGAGGAGGAACAGGAGGAGGATCGAGAACCGTCGACCGGGGATCTACGAGGAGGGGAGGAGGAGGAGAAGGAGCAGGGAGAGGAGGAGGAGGAGCAGGAGGAGGAGGAGGAGGGAGGAGGGGAGGAGGAGGAGGAGGGAGGAGGCAGAAGGAGGAGGAAAAGGAGGAGGAGGAGGAGGAGCAGGAGGAGCAGGTGGATCGAGGGTCGAGGGTGAGGAGGGAGGATGGAGGAGGAGGAGGAGGAGGAGGAGGAGGAGGAGGAGGAGGTGGAGGAGGAGGAGGAGGACGAGGACGAGGGAGGAGGAGGAGGAGGAGGAGGAGGAGGATCGAGGATCGGGGATCGAGGGGCGAGGATCGAGGATCGAGCATCGAGAGGATGAGGGGCCTCGATTCCCCCCTGGTCCCCGCCCGCGCCCCCCTACGCCCAGGAGCACATGCCGCAGCCCGCCCTGCTGCGCGCGGTGCTGCGGCCTGCCATCGGGGGCCTGCTGCTGTGGCAGGCCCGCTGCCTCGGCCGGGGGGCCCTCCCCTGCGCCTCTGCGGCTTCCCCCCCCCCCCCTTGACGGGCAAGTTTCCCACTTCTGCCACCTCCTCCTCCCTCTTCTGCCGCTCTCCCCCGCTCTTCTGCGGCTTCCCCCCCCCTTGATGGGCAAGTGTCCCACCTCTGCCACCTCCTCCTCCCTCTTCTGCCGCTCTAGTCTTCCCCTTCTGCCACCTCCTCCTCCCTCTCCTCGACCGGTGGCAGCGGTGGTGGAAACAGGGCCCCCCGCCCCCGCCCCCCCCCCCAGCTCTCCAGGACCACATGGGTTTCCAGCGCGGACCCCAAACAGTCAGTCATGGCGCCGTGGATGGGCAAGCTCTGTGGTGCACAGGCGTCTCTGCGGTCGCACTTCGAAGAGCCAGCCTGCACCCGACATGGCGAGCCCCACGGGCGGCCACGGCCGGCCACGGGCGGCGACGGGTCGGGACGTGGCAACATTTTCGGGACATCCCCACGGGCGGCAACGGGCGGCAATGGGGCGGCAAGCCGGACCGTGGCGAATCCGAGGGGCACTCATCCAATCCCGCACGAAGGCAAGCAAGAGCCGCCAGATGCAAGCACTGCCTTGGGGACAGCAGCGTGGCCATAACTCTCGGAGCTCCGCGCGGACTTCGTTTATCGGTGCTGAGGCCCCCCCTCCCGGCGCCTCTGGCGCCGCCGCTGGGCGCGCTCCGCGCACCAGGGAGGGGGCAACAGCATCCCGCTGCAAGAGAAAATCCTTAGGAGTTCTACTACGCTCCCTGTCCGCCCGCCCGCCCGCCTGTCCGCCGCCCGCCCGCCGCCCGTCCGTCGCCCGCCCCCCGCCCGCCCGCCCGCCCGCCGTGCTTCCGCGTTCAACACAACACCCAGCACTCAACAGCGTCCCGCTCCATTACAACACCCAGTGCTCGACAGATCCCGTCTCCAACACAACACCCAGTATGTACTCAACAACCTGCCGCTGCAAAAGAGACTCCTTAGGAGGTTTGTTTACATTCCGATCCGCCCGCCGCCCGCCCGCCCGCCGCCCGCCCGCCCTCCGCCGCCCGTTCGCCGTGCTTCCGCGCTCGACGCAGCACCCAGTACTTGACAGCATCCCGCTGCAACAGAGAATTCTTAGGAGTTCTACTGCACTCCCGATCCGCCCGCCCGCCCGACCGCCGCCCAACCGCCGCCCGCCCGCCGCCCTCCCCCCGCCGAAAGCCCGCCGTGCTTCCGCGTCCAACACAACGCCCAGTACTCAACATCGTCCGTCCCGAACACAACACGGGGTACTCAACAGTTTCCGTCTCCAACACAACACCCAGTATTCAACAGCATCCCGCTGCAAGAGAGACTCCTCAGGAGTTTCAGTAAAATACCGATCCGCCCGCCCGCCGCCCGCCCCCCGCCGCCCGCCCGCCGTGCTTCCGTGTTCAGCACCGCATGCAGTCTTCAGCAACCTCCGTCTCCAACACAAAACCCATCAGTCTCCGACACAACACCCAGTTTTCAACAGCATCCCGCTGCAAGAGAAAAATAATCCTTAGGAGTTCTGTTCAAGTCCCGATGCGCCCGGCCGCCGCCCGCCCGACCGCCGGCGGTCTGCTGCCCGTCCCCCGCCGCCCGCCCGCCGTGCTTCCGTGTTCAACACAGCACCCAGTACTTAACAGCGTCCGTCTCGAACACAACACCCTGTACTCAACAGCCCCCGTCTCGAACGCAACACCCAGTACTCAACAGCATCCCGCTGCAAAAAAGACCTCTTAGGAGTTTTGTTCAAATCCCCATCCGCCGCCGCCCGCCCGCCCGCCCCTCGCCGCCCGTTCGCCGTGCTTCCGCGTTCGACGCAGCACCCAGTACTCAACAGCGTCCGTCTCCAACACAACATCCACTACTCGAACCCCCGTCTCCAACGCAAGACCCAATACTCAACAGCATCCCGCTTCAAGAGAGAATCCTTAGGAGTTCTGCTCAAATCCAGATCCGCCCGCCCGCCCGCCCGCCGCCCGCCCGACCCCCGCCCGTCCGCCGTGTTTCCGCGTTCAACACAGCATCCAGTACTAAACAGCTCCCGTCTCCAAAACAACACCCATTACTTAACAGCGTTCCGCTGCAAGAGAGACTCCTCAGGAGTTCTGTTCAAATCCCGATCCGCCCGCCGGCCGCCGCCCGACCACCGCCCGTCCGCCGCCCGCTCCCCGCCGCCGCCCGTCGTGTGTCCGCGTTCAACACAACACCCAGTACTCAAAAGCGTCCGTCTCTAACACAACACCCGTACTCGACAGCTCCCGAAATCTGGAGTTCAACAGCATCCCGCTGCAAGAATAACTCCCTAGAAGTATTGTTCAAACTCCGATCCACCCGCCGCCCGCCTGCCCCCCCGTCGCCCGTTCGCCGTGCTGCCGCGTTCAACAAGACACCCAGTACTCGACAGCGTCCGTCTCCAACACCACACCCAGTACTCAACAGCCCCCGTCTCGAACGCAACACCCAGTACTCAACAGCATACCGCTGCAAGGGGGAATCTTTCGAGCATCATATCAAATCCCGATCAGCCCGCCGCCCAGCCGCCCGCCGCCCGCTCCCCGCCGCCCGCCCGCCGTGCTTCCGCGTTCAAGACAACGCCTGGTATTCAACATCGTCCGTCTCCAGCACAACACCGGGTACTCAACAGCTTCCGTCTCCAACGCAACACCCAGTATTCCAGCAGCCTCCCGCTGCAAGAGAGAATCCTCAGGACTTGTGTTGAAGTCTCGATCCGCCCGCCCGCCGCCCGCCCCCCGCCGCCCGCCCGCCGTGCTTCCGCGTTCAGCACAGCATCCAGTACGCAACAACGTCCGTCTCCAACACCACGCCCAGTACACAACAGCTCCCGTCTCCAGCACAGCACCCGGTACTCCACAGCATCCTGCTGCAACAGAGCAAGAACCCCTACGAGTTCTGCTAGACTCCCGATCCGCTCGCCCGCCGCCCGCCCGGCCGCCGCACGTCTGCCGCCCGCCCCCCGCCGCCCGCCCGAAAAACCATTGCAAACATTAAGAATTTCGGGCGACGAAATCTATACATATCCACTGCTCCCTGACCATGCCCATCTTGAACCCAGGAGCTGTGTATGCGCCCTCCTGGCCAAGCCAGGAGGGCGTGGCGTATACACCGCTGCGGGGTTGAGGATGGGCCTGGCCTGGGAGCAGTGGATGTGTATAGATTTCGTCGCCCTAGAATTGGGACATGTTTCGGAGGTTTCCTACGGGATTTCAGAGACAGGTTTGTTTTTAAGCGTGTGGCCCCAGAACCCATGACAACAGCAAGCAGTTCCTGAGCTGGGTGCTCTTTTTTTTTCCAGCGGGATATCATACATACCATTTGTTTTTAAGGTTGGGGCCCATATTCGTTCAAAAAGAACAGACAGGCATCTGAAACACCACCGATACTGTTTTTTTGTGTTCCGGAAGATTACCAGAAATAGTATTGTTTTTGATTGTGGGGCGCCAGAGTTCAAGAGACAACGCAACACAAACAAAACAAACTGTTTATTTTTTTGCAGACAAAAATCCGAGGGGGGGGGGTCGGACATACAAAATTGTTTTATGGTTTGGGGACTCAGAGCCACCGAACACGCATGGAAACAAGCCGGGGTGGGTTTTTGTTTCGGTGGTTGTCCGGGGGGTCTTCAGAACTAGTGTTGTTTCAATTGTGGAGCCCCAGAACCCCCGATAAACCACTGAAACACGTCCAAGTCGCGAGGTTTTTCATTGGCTTCTTCTTCTTCTTCGAGAGAGAGAAAGCAATAATTCAATTTTGGCTAAGAATCGAGCAAACGCAGAAACAAAAACACGAGTTGGGTTAATTATTTGTCGGTGTTTTCCGAGGGAGGTTTCTGGAACATCGCTGTTTTTGATGGTGGGGGCCCAGAACCTTTGAAGCACCAGAACAAATCCAGCGTTGGGAGGTGTTTCGGGTGTTGTCTGGGGGTCTTCAGACATAGTTGTGTTTTTATTCGTGAGGCCCCCACACCTTCGAAACAATCACGAAGAACTTCCGAGTTGGGAGGTTTTTCGGGGTTGGGAGGTTTTTCGGGGTTTGTCCGGGAGGTTTTCAGAAATAGTATTGTTTTTGATTGTAGGGCCCCCAGAACCCTTGAAAAACATTGACAAACCTCCGAGTTGGGAGGTTTTGCGGGGGAGTCCCGGCTTTTTCATAAGAAATAATATTGTTTTTCATTGTGGGGCCCCAGAACTCCAGAACAACCACTGAGTTGGGAGTGTTTCGGGGGTAGTCGGGGGGGTCTTCAGACATATTTTTGTGAAATGCTGTGGGGCCACAGAGCCCCCGAAAAACACCCGAAACACTCCAGAGTTGGAGGTTTTCCGACGTTACCCGGACGGTTTTCAACATATTGTTTTTTTTTTGTTATGGGAGCCCGGAACCTTCGAAAAGCATAAGCGAAACCCTAGAGTTGGCGAGCTTTTCGGAGGTTCCCCTTCCCGGAAAGTTTATCGAAAAACTTCAGAGTTGGGAGGTTTTTCGCGGTTCCCCCCCTCCAGGGAACCCCCATTTTTTTATAGAAAAATCGTCGGGTTGGGAGTTTTTGTTGGGGATTGTCTGGGAGTGTCATCAGAAATAAGATTGTTTTTAGATGTGGGCCCGAGGAACCTCTGAAAAACACTCGAGTTGGAGGGTTTTCCGGGAGGTTTTTCAAACATAGTTTTGTTTTTTATCGTGGGCCCCTGGGGGGGGGGGGTCCCAGGGTTTTTTCCGAAATGATTTTGTTTTGAAGTGTCGGCCCCGATTTTTTGAAAAACGTAAGAACCCAGCTGGGTTTTATCTCCCGAAGCAACGCAGAGAAACATAAGAAACACCGCCGAAAAAACACACACACACACACCGAAGTTGTTTTGCTTCCGAATGTACCCCAGGATATTCCCTGAAATATGTTCGAACATCCAGCGAACAATCCCCGAGTTTTTTTTTTTGCACCCCCGTAACGGCGCGCGAACG